GTTCCGATCATGCATGGGCATTCTGTGTTTGTCTATATGCTATTAGTAATTCGGGTCTCGCATCACCTCGGAGCTTCGGGATCAGCGGTCAGGTCATGTGATCTAAAATATCATGTGTTCTAGCAAATCATTAGTGTTTCATGGCTGGAGGTCTATATCCTTGATTATCTTGAAATCCTATTTGACAACATCTTTTCGGCCTTAATAAAAGATGTTTGTCTCATCAAAATACCCATAGTTTTCTAAGACTGTTTTAGCAGTTATCATCTGACTTTCAGGTGTAAAATCATGTTTTCATCGGGCAACTTAGGTAAACTTGTTACATTATTATTAAGCTGCATAGATATAGAAATATATGGCTTGTAGAAAATGATTGATGTAACTGTTATAGGATTTAGTTATCTGTCAATTAAGTTAATTCTTTAATAAAGCTTGCATCTAATACCAGTTGTGGTTAAAATTAAAAAAAAAAAAAAAAGAATTTTATAGTAAACTTGATACACAATGAATTAATTATACCTTAGATACTTAAAAGATAAAAACCTAAAATATATTTAATAATGACTTTTCCAATATATATAATTTAGAATAAAACAATAAAATATTTATTTAAATGTTCAATTACTAGTTCTGAAAGATTGGAGATTTAAAAGGAAATAATAAATAAATAATAGAAATTAAGATAACAACTTATATAAACAAGAAAGAAGATCTAATAATAAAAGAAATTTGAGAAAAGATAAATAAAAGATTAATTAGATATAGTATATAATTAAAGAAAAAGAGAAAGTTATAGAAGATAATTAAAAGATTATTTGAAAAAAAATAAACAATTGAATCAAAAAATTATAACAGAATCTTTATGACTTGATTTTTAGATATTTATATAAAGACAAAGTTAAGCTGATTCAAGAACATTTTAAGAATCAATATAAAATAAAATCAATGATTATGAGAGAAGCCTTAAAGAACTTTATCAAAGTATATAAAAAAGTTTTAAAAAAAAGATTTGGAATAATTATTATATTACTATAATTGAATAGAAAAAAATCTTAAGTATAATAATAAAAAACAAAATAAGTAAAGTATTAAGAAACAAAAGTGTCAATACTATAATAGATTCTGAAAGATAAGATAATTCATTCAATAAAAATAATATAAAAGATTTACAGTATATTACAAGAACATTATTCAGTTGAAAGAAATTATTAAAAGATAGATAATATAAAAAAAGAAATAGTTTAATTTGTAACCTATTGATAGAACTATAAATGATTTACAGTGATGACTTGTAAACATTGAACTTTATAGTTAAAGGATAATCTAAACTATAAAGGAAGTAAAATATTATTTTCTAAGTTATATCTAGAGAAAGAAATTTCAATAATGAATGAATTGATATATAAAAATTATTTAATTCATAATTATTTCATTAATTCACAATAAAGACAAGCTATATAGCTTGATAGTGGATTAAAAAAATTTTTTTATAAAATATTTTAATTAAATGATAATACAATAGTAAAATTATTATTATTTATAAATAAATAATAATATAAACTTATTATTACTTTGTAATTATTAATTTAATTTTTTAATTAATATTTTAGCCAATTTATGGATAAATAATAATATAACCATGATTTTATTATTATTTGAATAACAATAAAAACACAAATTTATCTTTATTTGATTATATAATCTAAAATCATATAATGAAATAATTATAATTTAACAAGATAATTATAATTGATTATATTTTAACCAAGTTATTTTAATCTAATAATTTAATGAATAATAATAATATAATTATACTATGATTACTATATACTGTATATATATTATATATATAAAGTACACACAGTAACTTATATTATTTAGATAATAAATATTATTATATCATTTAATTTCAAAATCTTTATTCTAAACTTATTAAATACACAGTAAATTGATATACATACAATATAAAATAATGAAGCGCGGTCGTCGTACAAACGGCGATCACAAACACAGAATGCCCATGCATGATCGGAACCCATGCCAAAAGCGAAAAGAAATAAAATAAAATGGGGGATAAGGGTATGGAAACATTGCGTACGCATGAATCAAGTATGATCTATGTCATGGTGATTTTAACAACGACAAGTGCACAGGAAACTACTTATCGATCTAATAAAGATAAACTAACATTGTCTTCTCGTGAGAATCAGAAATTGTTTCTTTTTCACGTACGTCCTGAAAGGCATCGGGGTTGATTAAAGGGGTGCATAAGCCATCATTCAATTAAATAATTCTAAACAATCATCTGGTGTGTATTGTTACGGGCGAACGTTGACCTACAGATACGAAACAACGCAACAAACATAAAACGCGCACAAAACAAATATGAAATAGAAAGTAGATCAAGGTGTGATCATCCGTTAAATAAATTATTTCTTTAAAATTAGATTCTTTTGTATATTACGTGAAAAATTTCGTTTACAATTTTTTATGTACCAATTGTTCACATCTAAGAATAAAAAAGAGGCCTAAAAAGTTCATTGTCCGGAGATTTTATCAACATAATCAACACAGTTTAATTTCCCAATATCAAAAAAAGAACGTGCATAATCAGTTTGATCAGATTATTCAAATTATTAGCACTGATCGAGAATTTTTAATTTCGCATTAAACGATAATAATTGATGGGTTAATATTTAGCCACCGGCTGTCAAGAGCCGATCCGTTAGAAGCCCATATTTGCCGGACCGGTTAATATGGCTCGCATAACGTAATGATTCATTCGCATCGAATTTTTCCCTCGCTTACTAATGCGCCATAAGCGGTGCAGGGTTCTGATCGTTCAGTTTCTTACTACTATGAGTGGTTTGAGAACATATTCGTTATGACGAAGAGCTGCTGCTTGTGATATTTAGGTGATTCTCATCATCATATCGTTGATTTCAAATCCGAGGCAAACTTTCCTGTTTCAACACCGTTTGTAGATCCCAATGTTGGGTTGCATAAATTAATGCATAACCGTCTGCGTATTAGAATTCGAACGAATGTAAAACCGGGAGTGATCGTGAATCTTCGGTGCCATAGATTGATCATAGCAAATGTGGTAAAATTTTTTCTAAATTTAGCAATGTACGTGCGTTCTCATTTCTTCCAAAAAAAAAAAAAAAAAATTCCAAACGAGCACCAATCAATTCTATCCTACTCATTTTATTAAAACCACCGGGATTGATAATAGAAAAGGGACAAAAAAGGAAATCATAAAGAGATACATCTATTACTCCACCCCTCCTTTGCGCTGTACCAACCACATCCTGATTTGTTTATATAAAAAAAAAAAAATTTTAATAATAATAATAAAATAATTTTCCAGTACTGCATATCAGCAATTGCGATATACTAATTACAAAACTAAATTAATTAAGACGTTTTTAATTTACTCACACACTTTATGTACGCGTCACGGAACATGTGTTCTTCGGAAATCAAGGTTTTTTTAAGCAAACGAACCATTATCGGAATTAACTGCAAGGCGTACCAACTATATTTATCCTTTGTCCTGGGGTATGGTATTGTATATTAACTCAAAAAAAAATCATACATCGGTTCTTTATTTCTTTCCTTCCTCCTCACATTATATTCTTGTTTCCATTCCCTCGTGGAAATAAATTCTTTAGCGTCGCTCTTTCGTTCGTTCGTATTTTGACACGTGGATCTCTGGAGATTCACCTATTACAAGAGGAGCGGTACATTTATTAAAGAAGGACGACGACATTTTGAACAAAAAAAAAAAAAAAAATAATAAATATGAATCAAGAAGATAGTGACACAATAGGTTCGCGGTCTTTGAATGCCGACACTTTAACAACCACACCTTTGCCTGCAATTGACCAAGATTCAAACACCGATACAAATGTTGATAACTCCGCTAACAATTCTTCCGATATCACACAAACTTCCGCGATCCCTCGTCCCAACTTCTCACCCTTCCAATATGAAATGGTCGCATCTGACCAGGATCTCGACATTCACTCAACATCCCCCACATTAACCTCCGCGACTCCTCGTCCAAACACCTCATCCACCCCATCTTCACTATCCGTAGCAAAATCCAGCAAGCTAATATTAGACGCACTGGTCTACGACGCCATCATACAAAATGATATTCCAGGTTTAGCCAAAATTCTGTCCGAGAATCCCAATTATTATCTGAACCTGCCAATTAGAATTAGTGACATAGGTCGATTAGAAAACGATGAGGGAAATACTGATAACGATATTCATGGGGATGACAAGACTCCTTTGATGATCGCGGCTTCCTTAGATTATGTTGATGTGGTCAAGTATTTGTTAAAAAATCCTAATGTTAATGTAGATTTACAAGGTATTCATTATATGCGTATTCGGATGGGAGTTCATCTGCGAATCTATTATCTTATCAAATATTTTTGAATTCTCCTTTTTTCAGATGAACAAGGAGAAACAGCATTATTCCAAGCCGCAGCTGCCGGAAATGCAGAAGTCGTAAGAATTCTGCTAAAAAATTATGCCATGGTTGATCTGTCGAATAATCAAGATTTGTCGCCGTTGTCGACAGCCGCCTATCATGGCCACACTTACGTGTGCAGAATGCTGTTAGATCGCGGCAAGGCAAGTATCAACAAAAAGGACAAAACAGGAAAAACCGCTCTCGCTCATGCCGCACATAGAGGTCATGCTCAAACGGTAGAAACTTTGATGAGTAGGGAAGCCGATTCCAATATTGCTGATAAGGTATGAATCCAGCCGTTTGCGTATTGGTTCATCATAAAAAGGCATTATCTTAATCGTCACATACGTATAGTTTGGTTGGACTCCGATGATGTTGGCAGCGTACACCGGCCGAGCAAACATTGTGCGCCGACTGTTACTATCCGGCGCCGATCGTTCCCCTAAAACCACAAATGGAAAAACTGCCGCCGACCTGGCACGTGATAGCGGATTCATCCACGTGGCCGACATGATTGATAACTTCACCCAGGTATACAAATCACGTGCAATAACGATGAGGGAAGAAGAAGAAGAAGAAGGTGGTAGCAGTGGTAATCTTGGTAATGGTGGTGGTGGTGGTGGTAGTGGTAAATTGGACGGCCGAGTTTCAAATATTGAAAAAGGGCAGCGTTTAAGCGAGTCGTACAATCCAGAGACAAAGCGATTATCATATCGTGTGAGCGCTCGATCATATAACATTGATTGGAATCAACGGAGACAGCATATGATGAGCGAAGACAGTCGACGGGTGAGCACCAGCTCAAAACTGAGGTTAGAGATGGCACCGCGTGAAAAGAATACTCTTTGGGTGTACATCTCCTGGGTAGTGACTGCTCCATTTCTGGATAGGATCTTGATTAGTATCGGGGGAATGGATGATGCCCGGACACGACAAGCGTGGAGAGAGAAGGTCACCATGTGTTTCTTTATAGCATTGGCATCGTTGTTTATTGCGCTGGTAACATTTGGGTTCGTTAGACTCGCATGCACCGAATTACCTCCCGTGCCAAACTCGTCGGTTGAAAATTTTTGGAGCGATAATTCGTCGGCGACCAATTCGCGAGTGATGATCGTTCGCGGGAAAATATATAATGTTGGCGACTATTTTGCGTTAGGATTTCATCGACCCTTATTACCGAATAACAATGATAACACATTGGGCCCAATAATTAATTCCCTATTTGGAAAGGATGTTTCCCAATTCTTTCCATTAAATAATCGAGCCATTGGATGTCGGTTTGCTCCGTCAAATCGGACCAACAACGTTCTGTGCCCTAATCTTCCTCAAACCGATTCACGCTATCATTGTCACTCTTCCGGAAACTCGTTGCGCACCTTGGAATCATTGTCCACCAACAGATATGTGGGCATATCATGGGACGAAATATCGGGTAAAACGGGTAATCGAAAACTATTGGTTTTCAACAACCTCGTATACGACTTCACCTCCTACCTCGATCCATCGAATACCGACTATTGGCTGGGAGATAATGGAACGTCAACAAAACTATGGATTCAATCCCTCATAGGACTTGACGCCACAAAGGAGATAAGTAAGGTGAACAATGTCGACGTGATGAATTGTTTTGAGAATTTTCGGGTTGGCAAGGTCGAGGGTATCGTCTATGGATGTGCTGCCATGTCCACGGTCGTCATAGTATTGACCACCATCACAACACTATTCGGGATAATGAAACTATTTTCGGCGTTGGCCTTTTCTAACTATATCTCCAAGAAAATTATTATCGCCGACAAAAAACCATACGATCAACTTCGGCGCATCGTAATCTTGATACCGTGCTACAGCGAAGGAAAGGAAGGCCTGAAGATGAGTCTCGATTCACTGTCAGCCACCGACTATTCCGACCAGCATAAGTTGTTCTTTGTAGTGGCGGACGGTGAAATCACTGGCAGTGGAGAGACCAGGTCCACGCCGGATATTCTCAAAGATCTCATTACACCCTATGACGACATCGATCGACCTCTCTCGAACGAGAACACATCCCAGAATCCAAGTGGCACGTGGAAAGAACCTACACCAAGAAGCTATATAGCAATCGGTCAGGGAACTAAACGACACAATATGGCGCAGGTGTACACCGGTTACTATGTATACGAAAACCGCCGTATACCAACGATTCTGGTGGTGAAATGTGGCACTCCCGCCGAGCGAAAAACATCACCGAAACCAGGGAATCGAGGGAAGCGCGACAGTCAACTGGTGTTGATGAACTTACTATCCAAAGCATATTATAACGAACCAATGACCGAATTGGAGTTTGAATTGTTTGAGAAGATTCGATTGATAAGCGGATCGACCATTGATCAATATGAGTTAATGTGTATGGTAGATGCAGACACTATCGTGGAAGAGCGCAGCTTGAGCATGTTGGTGGCATGCATGGATCGAGACCCCAGAGTGATAGGAATCTGCGGGGAAACCCAGATTTTAAATAAGACCGACAATTGGGTTACCATGATCCAGGTGAGATGTTTTATCCATTCTCCTTTAGGAGATAATAATAATAATAATAATAATAATAATAATAATAATTAATAATGATTGATAGGTTTTTGAATATTATATCTCTCACCATCTCGGAAAAACCTTCGAATCAGTATATACCGGCGTCACTTGCTTGCCAGGTTGTTTCTGCATGTACCGCGTCTACTCTTACAACCGTGAAGGTTTTCGCACGCCGATCGTTCTTGATAGCGATGTGATGAGAAATTATTCCACGAACGACGTTGACACCTTCCATCAAAAGAATCTCCTGCTCCTTGGCGAGGATCGATATCTCACCACACTAATCCTCCGCGCCTTTCCCAACCGAAAAACAATCTATTGCCCCGCCGCCGTCTGTCTGACTGCCGTGCCCACTTCATTCTCCGTTTTATTGTCTCAACGTCGAAGATGGATCAATGGGACTGTGCACAACCTTCTAGAACTAATTATGGCCCCCGAGTTACCGGGAAGATTTTGCTGTTCGATGCAATTCGTGGCGTTCCTTGACTTCTTGGGCACAGTGACCACACCATTTGCCACTTTTTATCTCTTCTCGTTGATCCTTCTTGTGCTTTTTGGCAAACCGTTCGGATTACAAATCGCATATTCTGCGGTCACATATTTAGTACAATTTGTATTGGTCATATTTACAAGCTACAGTCCGGTCTACGTGATGTGGTTCCTTATTTACGCAGTCTCAACTCCGTTATGGTTTGCCGTTTTGCCGTTATACGCGTTTTGGAATTTTGACGGTAGGCTTTACTTTACCTTCCTACATCGCATTCTTTTATTGAATACTGAAAATATATATATGCATATAAATATATATATATATTTTTCTTAAAGATTTTACATGGGGTACCACCCGAAAGATCGAAGGTGTTGATAACGGCCATGACGAGGACACTATATTTGATAAATTCGATCCGCGGAAAATAGAGCTCAAGAAATGGGACGAATGGATCATTTTCCGACATCTCCATAATCTACCCATGCTCGCCCCGTTGCAACAATTCACCAAATCCAATGCAAAAAGCAAACATGCACCAAAAAGTAAATCTATTCCGGAAAATGAGGGCGAAGTTGAAGGCGACGAGGTTAGCACGAAAGACGAATCTCGGTCCAGTTCATCGCAGACGGCGATTGAAGAAGAGAAAGTGATAAGTGCCCACAGAGATCAAGAGGATATCGAGAATGAAAAGTTATAAGAACATTTGTTCGCAATTTTGGGATGGCGTTAATGGAAAGTATAGATATGGTTTGTCTATAACTGTAAAAAGTATTAAAATGGATGGTTGGATATATAAATTATCAAATATATAATTAATTTACACGTGGGGGAAAAAAAATCAAAATTTCTTTTTTCGCTAATTCACGTAAGGCGCAGTGCGCTCTGCGACTTCCAAATAAATTATCATCTTTGCTTGAAACATTGCTCGACCAACTATATGCAGTTAAGCGCAGAGTGTTGGTTGTCATGATTGTCTCAAGGGCGATTATTGCGAATACTGTAATAGATATAATGTATTTAAATTATAGTTACTGTAACTTGAAATGATTATTTAATTTTGTTACCACCATTGGGATTTTGATAATTATAAAATATTTTTATTATTTATTATTATTACTAAAAAACAATGAAAATTTCATTAGAATATAATTTTTAGCAGGAAAAAATATACTGTAAAATAGAACGGACATTCGAACTAATCCAAAGATCAATAAAAAAAAAAGTTTTTAAACACATAATTAAATACTGTGCGAATGAAAGATGTCATGTATTTAAGTAAGTCGTTCGAAGTAGTTTAATAAAAATGACATTTAAACTTGCTCATAAAAATGCCTTGAATCAGATTTAATTGGTGAAAAACCAAGAGATTCAACTCTTCTGTAATCACGAACTGATTTCAGGGAAAGATCAAGAAACGGTTCGATTCAATATGGTTTGAGTAATCATTCATTTTTGGTGATCATTTTTTCTAATCAAACTTGCGTATTGATATAACGACTTTTTGAATACAACAGAGAAAAGTGACCAAACTCACAAATTGCATTTATTGCGCCCGAAAGGCTTGATGATCGTTATGGTAAATCGATTTACAGTAGTGCTTTTTCGTTTTTAATTGAGACAAACAAACCATCATTCATGGTCTTACAGTAGTGTACAATCTTCTCTTTTTTTCTTAATAACGCAACCAATTTTTAAGCATCCCGAAAATAAAACTACGTATACAGTTTGTGTAGAATGGTTAATTTATTATGACACATATTTTGTATCAGAGTAGTTTCATAATGTCCTTAAAAAAAAAAAAAAAAAATTGGACCTTTTGCGAGCGTGTAACGAGAAATACGGAGTCGGTTACTTGATTGGAATACTTTGTGCCCAGTTAAATCTATTTATAGGATCATATTTTGCCTTGATCTCAATCAACTTCGAAAAATGATATCCATAATATCTGGTTCCCCAATCACTTAGTTCGCCATCTATGTAATTTTGGTAGCTATGGTATGAAGTATAATTTTCTTGAAACTCTATTCCAAACTTTCTAACTGCTTCCAAACATTCCTCCCACGTATCGTGACCAACACCCTTTAATTTTGTCTCTAATTGTATTAAATACAAAGAGTCCCTGTGAAAGAATGAGGATTCGTCTGGCGAAATCTCATTCACCCTACCGCCGCCATACAGTTCAATTAAAACTACGGTTTTGCATTTCGATGAGTTGATGTAATTTTGCAAAAATGTTAAGCCCTCTGAAGAAAGTCCTGGAGAGTTAACAAAGAATGACTTTTGTTTAAATGGTTCGGGGTAAAAGTACGGTTTCAATACTGTGGTCTCGTTTCCATCACCAATATATTCAATGACCGTGTCCCACCAGCCTCCCTCTATGAATACTGTTTTGATGGGATTTGTGGTATTGACAAATTCTTCTAAAATTGCCTTGGTTTCACCGAGAGTTCCCAAATTCGACCCATGAATGGTCAATTTGTCGGGATCATCATTTTTGTCACAGTCGTTATCCTCGTAAATTATATCGGGAAAGAGAGAAAGGTAAAAAGAGAAGTTCGTGTTCAATTGTGGTCCAAATGTGCTGAATGCATTGAAAATTTTTTGTGCATCGTTCGTGGCATACGTAAAGTTGAAAATGGTGACAGTTGACGGCACGGGGTAGACTTTAATTGTAAAAGATGTAACTATCCCATATCCGGCATTGCCTGCACCTCGGAGAGCGAAAAAAAGGTCCGGATGTTGAGTGGAGTTAACGGGTGAGAGGAATGTGCCATCGGATGTTACTATATCAACGGCGATCACGTTGTCCGATAGCATTCCATATTTTCGGCCTATGAATCCATACCCCTGCATTTACAATACATTATTCTAAACTTCAAACTACACTAGTACTGTATTTAGCAAAAGTAAAAATGATACTCACGCCACCTGTGGCCTGACCACCAATTCCTACATTTGGACAAGATCCGGCAGCAATTAAAAACCCCGTTTCGTTTAGTTTAGCGTAAATCGGCCCTAGCCTATTGCCGCTCCCTATTACCGCCGTCTGAGACTCGGGATCAACAGTAACTTGATTTAACTCTCTTACGTCTATGACCAATACTCCATCTCTACCGCCAAGGCTATAATCTTCATAAGAATGACCACCTGATCTGGCGACTACCGGAATGTCTAATTGGTTCGCGCAATTAATTGATTCCTGAATATCTTCTGCGCTTGAAATGTAGACTATGGCAATAGGGTGGTAAATCATTCGACAATTACAATTTTTAATGCTTGTATAATAATTGGAACTTTCTGGATAGGTTACTAGCCCCTTGACATAAGTGAGACATTCCCTGAGTAGGAAAGATTTATTGGGATCAAGTGGATTTTCGAGCTCATATGACGGGCATTGTAAGCATTCGCGCTGAAAGTATGACCTATGGATCGGGGATGCGAGGATATTATAAGTTAGGAAGATTAAAATAACAAAAATATATTCATGATGTTGATAAAGCTTCATGTTATAAGTAAAATTTCACGCGGAGAAGGGAATAGACTAGCGGAGTGATAAATTTTCGTCGTCAAAAATACTCTCGTGGCTTAACCTTGTGGGCTGCTTTGGATATAAGGCGATGTTTATTTATTTATTTATTTTGTTTTTTTTATTTTTATTTTTATTATTATTTTTTTTTTTTTGCGCACCTTCAAACTTCTCGTGTGTATAACATACCGCGGCGTGTCTGAGAAAGCCACAGAAGCATTTACTGAATTGTGGGTTGCCTAAGCATTTATTAAATGTTTATAATTGTGAGCAAAGAACCCTCTCATACGATGCTGTAGATCCATGCGTACGCGCGCTATCCGAATCTATCGTAGAGTAGGGAACAAAATGTTATATTTTCCTATCTTGTAAAGTCTCGTGTTACACTTGTATTCTCTAGTAATAAAAAAAATGATATTTTTATATTCTCTTTTGGTAAGCACATGGTTTATTTGTTTTTTTTTATTTATATATTTTTAACAATATCTACTAAAATCTTGATAGTTTATTATATAAAGTATTTCATACTAAAATTTATATCAAAAAAGAAAAAAAAAAAAATTAATTATATTTAAATTACTGTAAATAAAATATTACTTAATTAAAAATTATATTTTCAAGTAAAAATATCAAAATCTGTATCAAATATTTAATATGAAAATATTATTTCTTAAAAATTTTTTTATAAATCATAAAAGATAATATTTAATAAACATTGATACTTTATTTTATATTTTATTTTATTTTAAAAAAGTAATTTTAATTAAATATAATATCTTTTTTATTTATTTATTAATAAAAAAAATACAAAAAAAATTATTATTATTATTATTATTATTTGTAATATTCATAGTTAAATCAATATAATATCTTATAAAAACTGATAAAAATATATTAAACAATTATATTATGGTTAAACTAAATTAGTGAAAATAACATATATTATGTTATTTCCACTTAATATAGGTTATTCTCACTCAAGTATGTGTCGTGATCTAAAATTTATAATATGGACTAAGATATCATAATCCAAAATTTGTGACATGGACTAAGGTGTCATGGTATATATTTTTTAACACTGTTATGGATCACGTGGGTGATATGATTTATACATAATGGTCTAGAATCCAAAAACCTGAAAGTCTGACATGAAAGATTGAGTGTTACAAGGTAGAAAACTATAGATAAGGCTCGGGTACTGATAAGGAAACTATGTGTATCTGAAAAAGTATGGAAAGTTTAGCCGATTATAAAGTAGATAGTCCATTGTTAGTTAGAAAAGTATAAATAGCTTATCAATGTATACCGAAAAGGTAGAGCTGAATGAGTTAGGAAAACAGTCCTCATTGAAAATAGAGATAAGAGTTAGTGATATCTCAAAGAAACAAAACACAATAAAGAGACACTTACCTTTGACCAAGTCAATCACATTGCTCTGCTTTCCCTAAGTGTTCTTTATAGGAAGCATTCTCTTCTTTATGAGTATTTATGAGACATCTAGATTATACAAGGTGCTATGAATTAGTGACAGACTTATCGAGATAGCTTACGACAATATATATATAAGTAGACAGATTGTTTTTTTTTTAATTTAACCCTCTGTCAGGCTAATTATGTGAGTTTTATTAAACAATTGTAAGTTATATATTATATATATGTTACTAAAGCTAAATCTCTAATTAATTTACTCATTAAAGTCTTCCATTTTATATCCTATTCTATATTTTCTTGGATTTTGCATAGCAACGGATTATAGAAAATTCTTTACATTAGTAGTAAGATGATTTCTCCTTAATCTATTTCATCTTCTGCCCTTATTGGTTTCATAAGGTCATTTTCAAATATTACTTTGAACTTCCTATTTTGAAACAGGCTCATTATAATCTTAATAAAACCTTTGAGTACCTTGATCCTTTCCATTGCTTTGATAAGCATTTCCAGGCTAATGGTATCATATGCCTTGGCTGTATCTTGAAAGAGTATCTACAGCTCTTTTTTATTTTCTCTTGCATCTTCGTAAATGTTGTTAAGAATTTGAATGGTTCTACTATACTCTCTCCTGACAATCCTGTATAGTTGGAACCTCTAAGGATATTGTTGATTTTGCAAGTGTTTCCTATTCTGGTGGTTAGAATTTTGGTAAAGCACTTTCTGATAACTCCAGTAATACGATTGATTTTGTATTTGCCAATTTACATCCCCATGGTTTTGATTTAGCTATTGGGTATATGTGGCTTTGTTTCCAATATATAGGTGTAACTTCTTATCTTAAAAAGATATTCAGCATCTTTCACAGATATTTTTTTCTTTCTTGACTCAATTTCTTTAGCATTTCATAGCTAATCTGTAATTTTTCTGGGGCTTTGTTATTTGAAAGCACATGGAGAGTTTCTTCCAATTCTTCATGTATGATAGGTTCTAGAAGATTGTTCTACCATACATCTTAGATATACTACTTGGGATTATATTCTTTTTTCCACTCTTCAGTAAGATTATCAAAGTTAACATTACACTTTTTGAAGGCCTCTTGATGGTATCTTCTTATTTCTTTTTCAATTTTTTTTTGTTTGTTATTATGTATTCCATATCATTTTGCTTAACTTTGACCTGGTCAAGTATTATTTTACTTCATTTTTTGTTTGTTAGCAAGTTTACCATCTTTTTTTGATTGTGTTTGAGATTATCATATTTTAGTTTTAAAGCTAATTTGATCTTCTCTCTTACTTTTTTGGCTTCTAAGTTTTGACTTATAAACTTAAGTCCTTCTATTGCATCTTGGATATCTTTTTTCAAGGATATCCAGGAAATATTGGAGATGTTGAATTGAATGCAATAGTTTTCTATCTGATGATGTGGATTATAAGTGGCATTATGTTTTTTGATAGCTATACTGAGCTCCTATATCTTTATTATTTCTTTTGATATCTCCGCTTTCTTAAAGACTATTTTTAATCGAAGAGCTCTTCTATACTGCATAAATTCTAGATTGTGTTTGTATCATTTCTTCTTATTTGATACCAGTTTTTTGGTTTCTAATTTGTTAAAAGCTGTATTACAAATTAGATCTTTGAAGGTTTTCTAGATTTTATTTGCTAGTAGTTCTCTTTCATCTTCATCAGATTCCTCATTAAGCATTGATTCCAGGGAAGTTTTAAGTTTATGATTCAGGCTTTCTTAAAAGGCTTGCCATTGTTTGGGAGATATTCCTTTTAGATCAATCCTTTATATTTTGGATGTTATGTAGTATTTAATGGTCTTGCTTCTTATGAATAGATTATTATTATATAGGGTTATCAAAAGCATAGTATAGTGTGATCACTTCTGGTAGTTTCTTTCATATCTTGATTGTCAAATCATAGAATTGTATATTTTGCCAAGATTTGTGACATCCAGATGAAATCTATTCTACTACTACTTGTAACATCTTGCCTTGTAGAAGTTTTGTCTTTCCCTTTCCATATTGTTTGTATATTTAAAAAATTCCATTCATCAAGAAAGTTAAAAAAGGAATTTCAGGTCACTATGAGGATCTAAAACATACTCTGGATGAGGATACTCTATTCTGATAGGTTGTATGCTGCATTAAAATCATCTATTAAAATTGTGTAAAAGTCCTACACATGTTTTTCCTAATATAGTTTATTAGATTGTCTTGTACTTTCTTGCATCTATATCTATCTGATGAGATGTAAATTTGTATAATGCAAATTTTGTTCTTCTTTATCAATATCTTAATAGTGACCATATGGCTATCTGCCTCCTTAACTGATACTACTTTTTTTGAGATTTTTTCTTATTAATAGACTTACTCCTACACCATATGATATATCTTTGTTAGTACTATGGAAGTGTTTGTGTTCTTTCTAATTACTGAAAGCCCATTTTGCATTACTGTGCATTAGCTTGGTCTCGTACAATCCTATTACTCCTATATCTTGTTCGCTTATATATTCTATAAGACTATATTGATTAGTTATATCAGTAATATACCATATATTATGTATGTCTATTCTTATTACCCTTTTTTCAATATCATTTTCCTCATCTCTATTATTACTTTACTTTTCTTTTTCTTTCTTTTTTTGATTCAGAAAATCAGTTTTTCACTTTGTAAAAATTTTTCTAGGTCTAAATCATCTAATTGTATATAGTTATGTTCTTTTTGTTAATATTTACCCTTTTTTAAAGTTTTTATTGGGAATAAACCAGGCTCATTTTTCCTCTAATTATTTTAAACAACTGGTATACCTTTTTAGGAGCAATATGCTCTTCTTCTACTGTATCTTATTTATCTATTAGGAGTTATTCTACCCTCTAATCTGGTTATTCAGCCACTTAACTTTTCTAAGTTGTTTAAGATATGGTATAGTGAATCTTCTTCATTTTCTATTTTAGTATTTGATACATACTTGTAAATACTACTGTACTGGCTAGGTCTTGGGTTATCAATAGGTTTTCTATTGCTTCCTGTGGCTGGGTTCTTAAGTTTTTTATTATTTCTTTGTCTTCCTTTACTAGTTTGAGTTCTATAGAATTGCCTTTGATCTCTTGAAGATGAATCTCTTGAGTGTTGCCTTATTGGGGGTCAATAATTCTTACTATAAGAGAAGGAGAAACAGATTAATTCGTTATCAGATAATGAGTCTATAGGTGCCTTATTGTCTATTTCAACTTTTCTATCTTATTCTTTGGCTCTTTTTCTTTCAGTATCATAGGTCTTTTCATTTTCTGTTACTGTATTTTTTATACTTCATAATAGATGTAGTCCTTGTAAAAAAATATATTGTTTACAGGCTTTATTAAAAGCCT